CCCATGCGCCGAAAGGTTGAGGGTTCAATTCCTTGCTGGGGCATGTCTGAGAGGCAACCAATCGATGTTTCTCTCTCTCTCTTCCTCTCTAAAATCAATTAATATATCCTTGGGTGATGATTAAAAGAGTTCCTATCTTACATAAATTTATCCTTGCTATTGTAAATTATAAGAAGATAGGCTAAAAACCAGAAAGTCTCAAATCAAGGTTTATAGCCATTTGAGAATAATATTGGAAGATCCTTGATCACTTCAGGTGGTTGAAATACTGTGACTAGTATGTGGCTTAGGATAAGGCAGAACACAGAAAAGCAGGTAAGCAGGTGGACTGACCATATTTATGAGAATCACTATAACAGGAAAACTCATTTAAAATGCATTGCTACAAAGATCACAGAACCTGTTCATTATCAAAAATAATGAGTTACATACATTTTATAAATAAGTAGTCTACTGCTTTCAAATGAAAAAAGTAGAACCTTTGATGAACTGGGCTTCTTAGAACACTTGCTTTTGTTGCCTATCCCCAACTTGTTCTCAATCCTTTTTGCATCACTTTTTATTCTGTGACACATCCCTACACTGTTAAAAATCTTTCTCTGATCCTTTTGTGTTTCTTACTCTTTTCCTGTCCTTTTCTTTACTTGCTTTCTGGATCCCCTTTTCTATTTCACCATCTACTTTCCTCATATCCAGATACCCTTGCCCTTGTACTCCAAGATGTCCATATCTTCATGAGTTTGCTTGTTGCTCTCTGTCTGCCTTAAATATCCTATTTTTATTCTCATTTAAGTAGTTCTCCCTTCTTCTGGCCTGGCTAATAATCTACTACTCCTCCGCTATCTTCCCACGAAGCTACCTTTCTCTCAAATAACCCAGCTAAATGGTAGAGCAGTAAACTCTTCAGACTAAATTATACTAATATAAATGGTTGATAATTTTTACTCACCACTGCCCAACTCTTTTCCTGTCCTATGCCCACAAAGCTTATTAAAATAATTTCACTTGGTAAATTTTCCAATCAGTTGGGTAGGAAATTGAGACTAGGGATGGTTGTGGTGGAGTTAATTGGAGACTCACCTTTAAACACACAAAACAACCTATTTCCCAAAATATTCCAGTCTTGGTATAGGCAAGGAATTGGTGAACAAAAAGAAATACTGATCCCTGTTGGGATTTCATCTGCTTTCTAAGGCTTGATTCAGTATGTCCACCTTTGAAATCCAATGATTGGAGGAAACAGGGTGTGCCAAGGGTACAATCTGGCTTCCAATGTCTGGATGCAGCTCACACCGTCAATCCAGGGATCCTAGAACACTGAAGCCCAGGGCCACAAAATGAAAGGCCTCACAGTCTCCTGAGTTGTGGATCCAGGATGTCAGAAGGTTCTCAAAGTTTTTTGTTTCTTATCTGTTCATCTCTCTTCTTCCTCTAGCTGATAACAGAAATACTTCTTTTGATTATATGAAAGTAATACTAATTACCAGTTATGGCTAATTACTCATGGTGCAGTAACAAACAGCTAATTACAATTAGTGTTGTTCTAAGTTTTACTTTAATACAATATTATATTTTTCTCAAGTGTTTACTCTTCCTAGTTGTTCATATGGTAGGTTTACTTCACTAAAAGTAGCCAGACACAAAAGGTAACATATTACATGACTCCACTTTTATGAAAGTGACTAATGAAAAAAGTGTAATTACAGTAGTCCCCCCTTAACGGCAGAGGACATGTTCTAAGACCCCAATGGATGCCTAAAATTGAGAATAGTACCGAACCCTATATATACTGTTTTTTTCCTATACATTCTATGATACGTTTTTACTTTTTTTTTTTTTCCCCCTCACCCGAGGACATTTTTCCATCTTTTGTTCAGATAGAGTGGGAAGGGGGGAGAGAGAGAGGGGGGGAGAAAAACATCGATGTGAAAGGAACACATCAAGTGGCTGCCTCCCGCATGACCAACCAGGCCTGGGGACAAACTGCAACCGAGGTACGCGCCCTTAGCGGGAACCGAACCCAGTCTCTCTGGACCGCAGGTCGACGCTAACCGTTGAGCCAAACAGGCCAGGGCTATGATACGTTTTAATTTATAAATTAGGCACAGTAAGAGATTAACAACAATTGAACAATTATAAAAATATACTGTAATAAAAGTTACATGAATGTGCTCTCTCTCTCAAAATAGCTTACTGTACTGTACTTACCCTTCTTGTGGTGATATGATACAATGCTTATGTGATGAGAGGAAGTGAGGTGAATGATGTAGATATTTGTAGACTGTGGTTGATCACAGGTAACTGAAACCACGGAAAGCAAAATGTGGAAAAGGGGGGACCACTGTATTTCAAAACTGGTGTGTGTAAACAGTGAGAATGAACCCTAAATTTTTAAATCTGATCAAAAGGTTTAAGTAATTTCCCAGTTTGGATTAACACACACACACACTGAAGAGTATTTACCATATATGTCTGAATATAAGGAGAATTATTCTCCAAATGTATCCATCATAAATATGTTGTATTTGGATTCTTATCAGCTGCTCATTTGACAAGGGGCTTTCTTGAGTCACATATTGTGAGAAACAAAGTATTCATTGGAGTGTGGAAAAAAACCTCAATCAGTGCTGGTTTGGGAAACTTTAAGGTCACCTGACAAAAGTAAAAATGTAGGCAAAGAAATTTAACATTAACTTAGTTCTTGATGCCAAGACTCCACAGATGCCAAGTGCTGGATATCTCTGTATACAAAAGCCTTTTAGAGACCACTTTATTATTTTTTTTAAATTTTATTTTATTAAATTTATTGGTTAAGAGAGACCACTTTAGAAAGCAGTCCAGTAAATAGACTGTGCAGATAATAAACATATACCTACAGTGCAAAAGAAAAAAAAAAAAGCTCATGTTAATGTAAATGGGCACTTGTAGAACTTCCATTTGTGGCCTAGATTCAAAAAGTGTTTCATATCAAACAATTTAGGTAATATAACCTAAAAATCTATGACAGATGGTTCAAAAACTGGCTCTGTTGATTACAAAGACACAAATGTAAAAGATGCATATAAAGAGTTTTAATAAAATTGTTTCATGACATTTGATGGAAAAAAAGTGAAATTCCTAAATTAATATTAACTTTATATAATATATAATTTTAAATACAATTGCGCTAACAAAAAAAAACACAACACTTTTAAAATCATCTTAATGGGAAAACAGAGGATTACTTTATATTCAAGGATTTGATAATCCTTGCATTAGAAAAAAGATAGAAAAGAACTCCACCATAAAATTCTATAGTGATTATTTTGAATGTTAAAAAAGTGATATTTTGGGAGTGTTTTAGTTTTCTCTTTATTTTTTTGTATTTTCAATATTGTCTTCAATATACATGTATTATTCTTGATGAAAATAAAAGCAGTAAGAATTAAAAATAAAATTTATTTTCTTAATAGTTCTAAAACTTGTATGACATGAAATCATAGAATCTTTGCTCTACAAGAGGCCAAGATGAGTCTCTCAATCTAACCTTCTGCAAAATTCAAGTAATCTTATCTACATTATTTGACACTATCTAACTTTTTCCTGATACAGATATCAATATTTTGAAAACAACTTATTCTACTGTTAAACAATTGAAAACTTCACTGATTCTTTAATAGCTTTATCCAGTTTCTATATGTGCCAGGGGCTGAAGTCTTTATAGTAAGCCCAAATGTGTACTACTCTCTAAATTTCTGCTACTATTTTCAATTTTGCAATCTGGAGAAAAACATGTATGTCTACCTACTTCTTTCTTTAAAAAATAGTCTTTGAGGTATTTTTAGACAGCTTTTGGGAGTCCCTTAAGTTCTTCACTTTTCCAGGCTCTATATTCATTCTACCATTCATATTAATATTTTCTTAAAATGGCATAGCCAAGACCTAAAGCAACTTTCCAAATGATTTCTGATCAGCCCTGAATAGTCAAAATTAATAGTTCTGGATCTAAACATTTTTCTTTTATGAATGTAGTTTAAGACTACATTAGCATTGTTAATGGTTACATAATATTGACAGCTTAAGATTATAGAAAATAAAATCATCCAAGTCTATTTTACCAGCAATTCAGTCTTCCAAATCTACAGCTTAAGCAATGAATTTGTCCATGTTCAATTTAAATATGAGCTAAAAATTCACCTTAGAATAAAGAAAATATATCTATTTCCTGGTCATAGAAAGCTCTCTGTCTCCCTTCTGTATTTTTAGCTTGACTAAGTTGACCAATCAGTTAATCAACTATTTATTGCTTATTTTATCTATGGGAACTTGAACTCTCTTAATGATCAGTTTTGAAGAAAATAACATCATTAGAGGCAATGTGGTTGATTAAATGAATCACTTAAGTCTTAATAAGAGAGAAAAGTGAACACAGAAGTATGAAGAAATAATGACTCTCTCGATCTTTTAGAAACCTGCAATGCATAAACCCAGTTTTCCTTTAAATGTTTTCTCAGCAGCAGCAATGGTGCCAAGCTCGAGAGAGGATGGAGATTTCTCCATCTATATCACTTACATAAGTTTTAAGAAAGAGTTATAGCATTCTAGTTCTCCCTGTTTTTAAGATATTTGAATTTATACAAATACAGCCACCAATTTATTTCTAGGTTTAAAAAACTTGATATAAATCCTTGGGAAGCAAGAAATGCTACATGTTCTAAGTTTCAGGTATAAACTGTACATTAGTCATGTTAATGAAATCTCTGTAACTTCTCATATGCCAAGATTTACTATAATCTGCTAAAAATTAAAGAAGCTACAGTTATTTGAAAATTTTTATCTACCACTATTTTGCTTAAAATCATACAAGTAGTGGCCTAGTAAGTGGTAAGAAAGGACCTTTCCCACCTGCATAAGTACCTAATATGTTTATTTTTGTCCTATAGATTTTAATCAAGAGTGTCACTTCATACCCATGTGTAGCTTTCTCAGAAATGGTGAAAGAGCTAAGTGTTTGAAAGTACCTTGAGTGGTGAAGTTGAAGAGTGCAGGTGTGTCTCGCCCATTTGGTAGTTTGACATTTGGGTCCCGTAATTCATCAAAAAATGAATGTGCACACGCTTCCAGTGGTGTCAATCGAGCAGTTGGTGTATACTCCAGCAGACGACTACACAGTGCAATTGCCTCTGGTGGAGTTCGGGGTCGGAAGACCTGCAGTACAAAGAAAAGGAAAGAACAATGAATGTTTTTTAAGAATCTTAGCAATTTATCCTGAGTAGAGTTAACTTCTACCACGTACCAAAAAAAAAAAGGCTGCATTTGTGAAAGGAACCTTCAAAAAGAGTTAACCTTCTAGAATATGATTCATCACACTGTGGTGAACTGCTAATTAAAGACTATATGAGAAAAGCTCAAAGAAAAAACTAGGGGATGTGGAAAAATATCTATATAGGCTAGTGATAAAGCAGAATAATCTAACATGTATACAAATTGTGACAGGCACAAGAGAAAGGGTGGATTCTGGAGGTAAACACAAGAAGAATATAAACAATTTTAAAGTTTTGTCCTGGCTGGTTTGGCTCAGTGGTTGGAGCATCAGCCTACAGAATGAAGGGTTGTGGGTTCGATTCCTGGTCCTGGTCAGGGTTGTGAAAGGGGAGCAGCAGATCGATGTGTCTCTCTCACATAGATGTTTCTCTTTCTCTCCCTCCCTCCCTCCTTTCCACTCTATCTAAAAATCAATGGAGCCCTGGCCAGTTTGGCTCAGCGGTTAGAGCATCGGCCTGCGGTCCGGAGAGACCCGGGTTCAGTTCCCGCTAAGGGCACGTACTTCGGTTGCAGTTTGTCCCCGGCCCTGTTTGGTCGTGCGGGTGGCAGCCACTCGATGTGTCCCTTCACGTCGATGTTTCTCACTCTCTCTCCCTCCCATTCTATCTGTACAAAAAATGGAAAAATATCCTCGGGTGAGGATAAAAAAAAAAAAAAAAAAAAAAAAATCAATGGAAAAATATCCTTGGGTGAGGATTAACAACAACAACAACAAAAAACAAAACAAAACAAAACAAATACTTTATTAAAGTTTGACTGCAGTGGCAGTAGGTAAAAGCTGGCCTCTTTTGGGTGAGTTTTGGCAGAACAATTGTTGGTAATGGACAGCACTATTCAAATCTGGCAATCAGTATCTTTTAAAAAAGAAAAGCTATTTACTGTAAGTCTATAAATGTTAATGAATTTGTATGACCTCTTCAATAAACAGAACCTATGCTCTTTGAAGAAATTCTTGAATTCCCAGAATTTGACAAAATGTCCAAAATTGTTTTCTCAAGTAGCTGTTTATCACAAACACGGCCAGGCCAGATTGCCCTCACTTGTATAAATACTGTAGGGTTTTTCTTTTACTAAGGAAGAGAGAAATGTAGTTTTCACTAAGAGTCATTAACTCACAGAAAAAAGTCAATTGAAGGCTATATTGAAGCAAAATGCAAATTAAATTAATTTGCTTAAAGGAATAGAGAACTTTCTACTTATCTATGTCTGAAAACTCCTAACCAATATATAAAACTATGAAAATATACTTTGTTTTAAATTATGGACAGTTAAAGAATAAAAGCAGAAGGAGAAAATAAAACAAATATAAGCAGATGGACAGAAAGCCTTTGAAACTAAAAAAAATGAAACACTGGCCTTGGCCATGTAGCTCAGTTGGTTAGAGCATTGCCCTGATGCGCCAAGGTTGAAGGCTCAATCCCTGCTCAGGGCATATGCAAGAAACAACCAATGAATGAACCAATAAGTGGAATAACAGATTTATCTCTCTCTAAACCAATAAATAAAAAAAAAACTGCTGAGAAAATAAAACATATAAATATCTTTTGATAGGCAGAACGTAGAATCAAAAAGAAGGTGTGGTAGTGGAACTGGTGGAGGTAAACGGACATAAAAAGAAGCACAAGTATATATACTTGTGATGTACAAGTGAGTAAAGGACTGTAGACTGTGACAAGGCATGGAGGAGTCTGGGAGGCTAAGGTTTCCTAATGAGAATGGTTCATGTAAATCTGGGTATTCACTTAGTCTAAAGTTAGGAGAACTAGTTGCTTCTATAGGGCTCATTAGGTTTCAAGAGACTATTTATAAGAGTACTTTGTACAGAGAAAACTCTTTTTTCCTTTTGTTTTTACACACAGTTTGTTATTAGTAAAGAATTATCCATGGAAACTGAGAAATTGATTTAAGCAGGATCTCATGAATTTAGTTTAGAATACTGAAGGCCTTGTCAATTTATTTGGCTATGTTAGAAAACCCTCTGCAAGCTAAAAACCGCTTTATCTTTTATTCTTTTGAGTGACCTGACTTGCCTCAGTCAAGAAAACCTAATATTACTGTATTGTTTGAAATGTGTAGATCGTCCACGGTTGTTCTTGGTCAGTTTTTCCTCATGTGTTCTCTAGTCAGATCCATAATCAAACTCACACATAGAAGAAAGGAGTCAGTAGGAAAACTCAGAAATTTTTTAAATTAAAAATATTAAGCACTACTGACATATTTTACCTCTGAGTACAGCTGGCACTTATTTGATAGCATATGGATTAAATTTGCTAGCCAATATAATAAAAAATGCTTCTGCATCAATATGGGAGGCACATAAGTAGAATTAAAAGTAGAAATAAATGATCTCCCACTAACATTCAAATGTAAAGTAGCTAGACAGTGAGTGTATTTTAAATTTAAAAATTTCACATTATATTAATGAAGATTGTGTAAAGCTATTAATAAGGCAGTATTGTAAGCTTATCTCTGGTTATTAAAAAAAGAGTCATCCACATCTTTTTGGTATCTTACAAGCTATAAGTGACCACACATGTTAACACTAAGACACATATTAACCTATTTTGCCAGGCAATCCTAACTCATAGAATCAGTGTTAAAAACAGAAAGAAAGAAAAAAAAAAAAGAATTCATTCCAAGAGCCTACATTAAAATCAAAACATAACCTGCCTTTTAAAAAAGTATCACTACTTGAAACCCTTTGAAAGATTCCTGATGAGAAAAACTTTGGTTCAGTACTTTATAAAGGATAAGTGGACACTTATGTGAGGTTAAAAACTAGCGTCTCTTAAAGTTCAGATATCTGAGCATAATATAGGGAGTCAGAGTGTGTTAGCATGCAACTTCCAAAAATTACAGGCCAAACTAGAAAACAGTTCTTCTGAATTATCTTTGTGTCTATAGAAAAGAAAATCAATTTAACTACTGAAATCTGACTTTCAATTTAAAAGTTTTGGTTGTTGTTTCATTCTTTACTCATTTTAATTGCTTAACATTCAGAACCATTGGTTCATGAACCTTTATCAATATATATATTCTTGTAAAAACAATTTTCAAACCCCACAATTCCTAAACTTCAGTCTAGATGTCAATAAATCACCCAGAAGACTGACAATCAATACCACAAGCAAAACCTGTATCATACAATGAATGAAAACAGAAATCAGAGCTACACTGTTTTTACTGTTACATTTCAAGAATGAATAACTAACTATATAGCCTTTCAAAAAGCTTTCCCCCTAGTTTTATAGACGTGCCCTGAAATTTTGGGGAAAAAAAAAAAAATTAAGTACATACCCGCACTCCTGAGTTGAAATGTCCTGTTCCTGACGAATCCTAAAGATGATAATGCAGTGAAATAATCCAAACAGGGGAAGTCAATCCAAAAGAGAATAGTCCAGCAAGGAAAAATATATCCAATGTTATAAGAAATCCATGGTGTGGGGGGGACATAGAAAATGTTTATACAGTTATAAACTTTAAACATCAGTCTCCACAGTAGCAAGTCCAAGTTTTAAAAATTATTTCACCACAGTGTATGCAAAAATTTTTTTGATTGCGCAATGGTGAGGCACAGTAAAGAAACATTTTAATTTTAGTTTATTATGTTCCAATGCCAGTTCATTTATTAAAAAAATACAAAACCAAAAAAAGTTAAAATCAAAATGAAATCTAGAAGTAAAGTTCCCAAAGTAAAGTGTTTGGTCTTCTATGACCTGGATTCATCGTCCATTGACATGGCTGGGAGGGGGCATTTAAGACTGCTTTTAAAGATGTGAGTTCCCAATATGCTAATTTTTCTCTATTAACGTATTCCAGTTACACAGTATAAACATTTTTTTTTTGCTAAATTATTAGTGATGAGAGGAAAAGTAATAAATATTTAATTTATATTACTATAAATTTCAAGCCAAATATTTTCAATTTGTGTGAGCTAAAAAGGATCAGGCCACCGCGGATTATTCTCCATTTTGGATTGACTTCCCTGCTAAAAGATATTTGCTGACATTCTCATTATCTTAGGACTCTTCAGGAAATAGACATATCACCTCAGGAGTGCGGGTATAAACTTACATTTTCTATTGTGGGCTTTGCCCCCTCATACCCTTGCACCCATTACTTAGGAAAAATAAATATAGAACATTCTTTCCTTTTTGGAAAAACTCACTGAAAAAAAAAATCCTACATCTCTGAGCACTATAAATTCAACACAAGTTCCATCTGCAAATATGCCCAATTCACCCACCAAAAGCTAAACAAAAATATATACAATAAACAACTAAGGGACAGTCACAGTTATAGGTGACATGCACAGTAATGTACACCAACACCTAGGCACAACGGAGCCAAATATGCAAGGGAGGTGGGTAGGGTCTATTATGTCTAGGTATTGAGAACAAACAATGGCAGAACTCACCAGTAGCTGTGAATTCCCTTGGCTATTCTAAGAGAATTTTACATTCTTTTAGGATAGTTTCCAGTGGGGGAATTAAATATTTTGCAAAAATAAATAATCCGCGGATTACTTTTAGTCTGCAGACTAAAATTTAGTACACGGATTAAAATCCGGCCCATCAGAATAGAAATCTCTCATGAACTAAAACACAACAAAAGTAGAAAACCAGACTAAAAAAACTGAGAGCACAAAGTAAGACTCAACTGGGCCAACTAACAATTAGTGCGCAGACTAAATATGGCCAGCCAAGTATGTTAGCAAGGCCATGAAGAGCCCAAGACACCCCTGTAATAACTAAAAACAGAAGTAAATAAATAAAACAAAGCAGAACAAAGCAAATAAAGAAATAATTGAAAGAAAAGTAAAAGAAAAAAATGAAAAGAATCAAAACACTGACATGAACTTTTCAAGTGATTCAAATACTACCTCACCTGTGCAGCAACGCATTTTCTTAAATTGAAACAAACTCTCATCACAAATACTAGTCTACAGAAGAAACTAACAGAAAAAATTAAATTTTTCAAAAAGAAAGTCTCTGTGATATTGGACAAATGCAAATGAGTCCTTAAATAAAGAACTATTCAAAATAAATTTGCATTTGGATAACTCAAAAATCATATAGGTAATTTTCCCTTACATGTCCTAGAATAGACTTTTGCGATCAAATACCAAATTTCAACCTGGAGCTAACTGTTATGACTGAATCTTGAGCCCTTTAAAACAACCATTTATGAACGGTCATATATACCATACCAAGGCCTATGGCTGATTCTCAGAGCATCAGCTCTCAATAATTCTACTGCATTAAACAGCCAACCAGAGCAATGTAAAAATGCCTGTGTGCAATGATAATTAATCTAAGTAGAACAGAGGACAAGTGCCATGCCTATTCCAAACAGCTACTCTTCCCTAGTTTTCACAGTTATAAATGTACATGTTTTCTGGTTATACACAAAATACACAAGCACCCAATGTTAAAAACTGATAAACCCTGAACATTTCTAAAGAGCAACTCCAGTATTGGCTCTCAAAAGTAATTTATTAATCATTTACAATTATTTGCAATTTGTAAACCCAAATATAGGACTAAAATGAGAGAATGTCATGGATTTTTTGAACAGTTAATAATGATGATTAATCAAGCTAATTAACTAAAAAACCTTCAATCTACTTAAGTGCTCACATATAGTACATAATTTATAAGAAAACAAACATCCTTTTCTTAGCCATGACAGAGCTAGCATTCAATAAATTTCATCTGTACTAATTAAAAGGCTTATGTTTTCCTGCATTCTACTACATGTAAGAAATATTATGTATGTTTTGATACCAGCGTTTAACTATGCAATGTAATTTCTCCCTCTAACATCATTCACCGATAAAACAGTACTACAGGCTTACACAGAATTGTGATTTACCAAATGTCCACTTATCAATTTAATCGCTCACTGTTCATGAAATAGTCATTGTTGTCAGGTTGACCTTCCTAAGAATACAGGAATATTTCCTTTTCAGTCACACCTCTCTCATCTTAGGAGATAGTCTCCTAGGCTACAACAATTCCAACCTGTGTACACCTAAGGAAATCCAAATCCTCCTTCAAAAGCCCACCTTCCTGGGTCCTTGTATCCCCTTTTCTCCACCACCACCCTTGCTGGAGATCTGACTTATAACACCTACAACATTTGAAACACCTTTGAACATCTAGTGCATACAATAAAGTATATGGTTGTATATTAGCATATATTATTCAATACTTGGCTTTAGCTGAGTCAGTTGTGTCACCTGTAAGTTTTACAAGGAATATATATTTTTTATTTTTGCATCCTTTATGGTACCCAGCATAGCACTGGTTACATAGGATATATGGATTTTAAAGAACAAATGATAAATTTAAAAGTATTCTTTTTTTTCTCTTTCTTTATTGATTTTAGAGAGAGAGAAAGGGAGAAAGAGAGATAGAAACACTGATGTGAGAGACATCGACTGGCCACCTCCTGCATGGCCCCACTGGGGATCGGGCCCACAATCTGGGTACATGCCCTGATAAGGAATAGAACTGGCGACTTCTTGGTGCATGGGGTCGAAGCTCAACCACAAAGCTTTCTGGAACATGAATAAAATGAGTAACGCAGAGAGACCAGAAGAGCTAGATGAAGTGGACCTGCAAAAAAGTGTTTGAAGGCGATTTTTGTTTTGTGTTTTCCATGCCCTCCCTGATGGTATTTTTGGTAACATGTTAAACTATAGTTTAAACAGGTAAGCTTATTAAGTGAAAAATATTGCATTGCAAGGCTCAAAAATTTGTAAGATTATGAAGTCTTTTAGAATAAGTATCATTGTTTAGATAAGTATCATTGTTTAGCTTTAAGCATAGAAATCAATAAAGAAAAAATTTTTTTTTAAAAGTAAGCTATCATGTATGCCAAAAACTTAGCAACAACCAATTTTAGGTAATTAGCATCCATTTTGTTATTACCATTATGAAAGAGAAATTAAGAATTGCTATAATACATACATATGGTATGAGTTGGTAGTTATTTACAGGAATTATGTGGAAGAATCATGGAGCTCTTGGTTAATCAGAAAATAGTTCACAGAAGTGAAATTTCAAGTCTCGAGAAAAGGTTAATACTTGGTAAGCAGAGGAGAAAAACATTTTAAGTGTGAAAAAAAGACACTGGCAGGAGGCAGAAATGAATGTGGTTTCTTTGGGGTCCAATTCGAAGACCAGTTTGATTAGACCCCAAAATTCAGCATGACTGCATGGTCCCTTCAATGTGAGCTATAAGCTAACATATTAAACAGCCCTAATCCAATTGAAAGAGATCAGAGCCCTTGGGATTCTAATCTACTACCTTCAACTAAACAGTTATATCCACGTATGAATTTCATTAATCTAAAAGAATACACAAATATCTGTATTACCTAACTGATTTCGTAGGATTATAACTACTGGGATAAAGGAGAAATACTTTTTTGTTTTTTTTTATCCTTACCCTAGGACATTTTTCCATTTTTTGTTCAGATAGAGTGGGAGGGAGAGAGAGACATCAATGTGAGAGAGACACATCGAGTAGTTGCCACCCACACAACTCCAATCGGGGCCGGGGACAAACTGCAACCGAGGTACATGCCCTTAGCGGGAACCGAACCCGGGTCTCTCAGGACCGCAGGCCAATGCTCTAACCGCTAAGCCAAACCGGCCAGGGTAAGGAGAAATACTTTTTAAAAATAACTTTACATAAAAAGTTAGCAAAATTAGGTACTCAAAATGGGGGGAAAACTCATATTAATTATTACACTGCAATGTTATTAGAAATCCCTAACCTACCCTAACTAAATGCATTTAAGCATGGAGGAGCTGGAGAACTTGGGAAAGAGACTGGATTCTATCAACTTGATGCTTCAGGGAAGATTAGGAGCAGAGCAAGAACTAAATTTCTTATTTTTTTAGAAAGGAAAGGTAGAAATGATTAGGAACAGAGTAAATGTATACTTGTTACCCAAACTGGGACAGTTGAGAGTAAAGGGGCATGCAACTAATAATCACATTGGACAAACATAACTGAGTCATACAATCACTCCTCATTATATGTGTATCGTGTCAAATTTTCCTAAAGGCAGGAATTAGAGAAGGGTTTTAAATAGGAGTGACAGTATCACATGTGTTTTTAAGAAAGCTACCTCTACAGCAAGGAAAACGTGAAGTATGTGAAATTGAAGGAGGGAAATTGGTTAGGAGGTAGGAAGCTGTTTTAACAATTCTATGATGGCCTAAATTAAAGCCAGGGCAGTGGAGATAGCACAAATCACAGAACCATATTGGAGGTAGAATCTTTTCATTTATTCAGAACTAAAATAAAATAATCCTTTATATGCATACTTTTAACAATATTTTCAAAAAATCCAGAGAAAAAACACAACAGCTAATTGTTATCTTAACAAAAGAAAAAACTTGAGGCACAAAGAGTAGGAGCCGGGCTTAAACTAGATCCTCACTTCATACCTAAAAGACTATCATTTAACCATACCTCCATTTTCTAAATGCAGAATTTAAGCTTCGTCTCTTCTTCCAACCAATTTCCATCTCTACTTAATTCTCAATCTACTCTTGCATCACTTTCTTTTGCTTCCCATGTGGCTTTTACTCTATGAAGTATACAGCATATACCAATGCAGAGAGGTCTTTATTTTTCTCACCCCCACTCCCAAGAATATCCCTGTTCCAAAATATTATTACCTATTTCCTACTTAAACTACAATTGTTTTATCAATGAATTAGGTTGCTCTGGCTATAAGGGCAACTTATTGGATTTCTAAATTCTCAAGATTCCTGCCACATACCACACTGGAATCATCTTGTGGTCTTATTCTTCTGTATGTTATCTTCCCTACATATCTGAATCCCTCATCTTAATGTTTCCATGGCAGACATTTTCTCTCTTGATCTTTATTTCTTCCTACTTTTTTGAGAACACCAGCTCTGAATCCTGGTGATATAGCTGCACTACAGTACAGCACAGAAAACCAGGATGCCCATAGCTTCCGGAAATGAGGCTAAATTGCATTCTAACAGAAGACAGCAATAAAGGCAAAGCAGCTTTTGTTTCCAGACTATGTTTACCTGCCCTCTAAGGGCAAGAAGCTCTTTGAAGAAAACCACATTAATGTATTAAAAATAATAATTCCATTGGCTGCCTAGCATAAGACAGCATTTCTCAAGAGCATTTCTCCTGTCATAATGGAGGGTAGAGGGGACTGACTTTCCTCTAGAAACAGAACATTTTGTCTCTTCATATTGATAACAACTAATTTTTAAAAGAATCAATGTAAGCATATCCTGTATCATCTAGATTCATCTGGATGACAGTAGTGCCATGAAATTTCTGTATAAATTTTGTTTTGTATTTACAACCACAGTAACACTAACCTAGTTGTGTGCACTAATGAAAGATTAATGTAGGTATCCTTATTACATAATAAATGCATTTGTACCAAATGAAACCAAATAATGTCAAGACATACTACATGAATGAAGAATTCACCGTAGTTTGAACAGACAAAATAGGTGGGAGAACTGAGTTCTTATTCTACACATGGTAGAGGAATGGAAACCTAAATAAAACAAATAGAAGGGCTTTATATGGACTATTCAAGTTTGAAAAACATTAGTGTAAGACACAGCAACACCAGGAACCCACAAGAGCAAAGGAAGGTGTAAAGCATACAAATTTACCACAAGTCTTCTGCTGGCTGCATTTTCAATATAATCATTCAATCATTCCTCACATTCCATCCTGGCTAATATAGGAATTGAAAAGATACAATCCGGGGGGAAAGTGCAGAATATGACACATATTAATATTGGTGGCTGTTCTGATTTTTAAAAAATTAAAGATAGGACTGATAAATAAGATTTTATAACCTCAATTTCAGCATCATATTGCTTAGAAACCCCATATTAAGATTAACGTGAATACTTAGATTAGAGCTTCACTTTTCTTTCTTTACAGAAAATAACTTGCTTATTAAAGAAAATACGGAAGTGCAGATCAAATTTAAATTCACCCACACTCTTCTCACCTAAACTACTATTAGCATTTTGAAATATGCCCCTGTATTTACTCAATAGATAGAATTCTGTTTTTTTTTTTTTTTTTTTTTCTTTAACTTGGTTGAAATCATAGTACACTACAAACCACTTAAAAGCACTTTAACTTGGAATAACTTTACTTGATTCAACACAGCCTCTAACTCCAAACAGACCACCTGGAATTCTCTGAGTTTAGAGCCAGGTGAGAGACCCCAAATATCTTCTCACCTAGATTCAAAATAAACTTTAAACAAAGACCAAAGAATAGTTTAGTGTCAGAATATTTAGTGTTGGTTATAAGTTTAATAAGGAAGGAGAGAGCAACATCTTGGCAGTGAAAGCTATAGCCTGTAATTTTGGCACTAAAATACTACACAGGTCTTTGATTCTGAATAATATATAAATAATTAGCAACAAGAGGAGTTTTTGAAGTGAAGAGAGGTAATGTGATTATGAGAACTTGAAGAAAAGTAATTGCAATTATAACACAATCTAGTGAGAAAGACGCACACTTAAATCTGGGAATATAAATTATTTCAACTATAGCCCTCAATCACTTCATCTCATTATAAAAGATCTAAAACCAATTAAATGAACTTACTAACATTCAAAGCAAACTGTTATATGCACATTTAAAAATACAAAACATCTCTACTTTAAATACACATTAAAAAGTTGAACATATCTAACCCCCCAAATATATAATAAAATGTAAGTAAATGAGAAGGGGGAATGCATAGCACATAACTAACTACAAGTTTAAAGGATCTGGCATTAAACACATGTGTGTGCACAAACATAAGAAGTTTACTGACTTTATAACTGCCACCCATTTAGTCTTGGATAAGTCACTTAGTATCTTTGGCCAGAGTTTCTCAATATGTAAAATGAGAAAGCTAGAGATTCACTCTAGCTATAAACCCTATTGAGACACTTTAGTTTTTCTTCTCTGCATGCTTAATCTCATAAATCAAACTGAGGTGGAAAAAAAACAACACCTTTTAATAAAATCTCTCTTGCCCTGGCCGGTTTGGCTCAACGGTTAGAGTGTCGGCCTGCGGTCCGGAGAGACCCGGGTTCGGTTCCCACTAAGGGCACGTATCTTGGTTCCAGTTTGTCTTGTCTCTGGCCATGGTTGGGTTGTGCAGGTGGCAGCCACTCGATGTGTCCCTTTCATGTAGATGTTTCTCTCTCCCTCCCTCCCACTCTATCTGAACAAAAAATAGAAAAATGTCCTCAGGTGAGGATAAAAAAAAATCTCTCTTAAAATTACTTAAATTAAATGTCAAAACAAATAAATAAATAAATAAAGTTTTCTGGTAATTAGTACTTATATGCTCTTAGAATTGGTTCCATCTAATGTTGAGGTTGGACTGTCATGACTAGTGACATCCTGTTAACATACCAATTGCTTTCAATGTATATACCTAGCAAGATCAAATCTGCTTTTTATCCCTGCTCCCAAAACAACAATAGGAAAGTAAACAAAAGAAGAAAAATATACTATTATCATCTATAATAAGGTCTATATATTAATAGTTTAAAAAAAGAATACGTAAAAAGTATGTTTTCATATGCTGTATGATACTGAACTAATACACACATCTAACTTTGTAAAAAAATTAATTTCTGAATTTTAAGTAGTCAAAATTTATATATGAATTTTGCTCCTAATAAAATTATATGTTTTAATAATAAAGATACACTGTCCTCACCCTACAAGTAAAAACCCAGGCTGGAAACAATTTACTGGAAATCAATGGAGACAAAACTATATACAGTCAATAAAACACCAAAGTACAACTACCAACTATCTTTACATGTAGAACTGCTGTATGTTTTGTACTCAGGCAGTTATTTGGTATCAAAATAGTTTAAGAACAATGAAAACCCCAAGTTTTAGTTAACTATAATTAATGTGCTTTTATAAAAACTCTATTTGACTCACCTTAGTCCAAGGATGTGCCTTAATTTGAGGAAATTTGAATTCTGTGTAGTTTGGGTTCATTTCTCTAATTTGCTCCCTTGTTGGTGTCCCCAGGACCTAGACAGAGAAAGAAAGTTATTACCATATTTTCCTATACACTTACAAATACAGTATTTATGTTTCAATGTATTGGTTTCATTATAAAGGGAATTCCAAAGTTATAAAATACTTAACTCATTAAATAGAACAGACTTTGTAAAAAATGTTTAATTTTTAACTGACTACAGACCCATGCTAAACTACCCTACATAGACTTTTACCATAATAATGTTTTATCAGAGCTGTAAAAAAAGATCACTCAAAAATATTCAAGTAATAATCAGGCATCTTTATTCTATGTAGAAAACAATGATGGCATCTGAAATGAGAATAGATTTTATTCATTTATTTTATTTTAGTTTATTTTTTATCCTCACCCGAGGACATTTTTCCATTTTTTATTCAGATAGAGCGGGAGAGAGAGAGAGAAACATCAATGTGAAAGGGACACACTGAGTGGCTGCCACCCGCACGACCAACCAGGGCCGGGGACAAACTGCAACCAAGGTACATGCCCTTAGCAGGAACCGAACCCGGGTCTCTCTGGACCGCAGGCCGACTCTCCAACTGCTGAGCCAAACCGGCCAGGGCAGATTTTATTCATTTTGTAAAGTATAGGCCAAGGTTTTATTATTAATAATCAAGAGAAACCTACTCAAACATGGTCATCAATAATTCCACTGAATATTTAGTGATTGTCCCCTGTGTATAATGAACCACACAATGATATATGGGGGACACACACACAAAAACAAGAAATTTCCTAAATGATGAAATTACATGTTTGTGTGTAGAAAAAGTATTAACTACAATACAAGATAAAAATATATTGAGCACTTCATTGCCTCTAGAGCTGCATTCAGGACTAAATAAAGAAAAGCATATAGATCTGGCTGCACAAGACAGATGATGGAAAGAAACACTAAATACTAAAAATGAGCACCCTGAAGAAAAAAGATATCTACAACTCATTTAACTCTAGGGCCTAGTACAAAACAAGTTTGTTGGGAAAAAAAAAAAATTAAGCCATTTACAATTCAAGGACAGCTGCACAGAAGTAGAATGTAACCATACATACTGGATTTCTGGTGGCAACCAATGAATAATCAGAGCAAAGTAAGAAATTCAGTGTTTTTCTTTTGTGGCTTCTAATTCTCTAGACTTCTTTGAAAACATTCAGGCCTTAATCAAAATCTTAAGTGTTATTCTTCAAAAGACACTCTTAAGAAATCAAAAGCCAAGCTACAGACTGACAGAAAAGATCTGCAAAACATATATTCTGCAAAGGACTTAGATCTAGAATATGCAAAGGACTCTTATAATTAAAAAACAAGATGATGTTTCAAGATGGCTGTGGTGTAGGTGGAAGGCACACTAACCTCCTCACAGGACCAAACTGGAATTACAACTAAATTATAAAACAATAATAATAATTAAAAAAAAACCTTATAGATAATCATCCTAAATTACCACTTGAAGACTAGCTGAAATCTCATAACCAAGGATTTACAGAAGTCACATTGAGATTGGTAAGAAAGGCAGAGTTGCGAAAAGGGTTGATTCTGCTTCCATAGGCAGCAGCTGGGATTCTGAAGGGATATCTCAATAGTGGGGTATTGCCCCTGAGAAGAGTGGGGTCTAAACCCCAAGAAGGGCTCCCTAGCTCGGAGCACCAAAGCTGGGAAGAGGCACCCATATAACATTTTGCTGTGAAAATCAGCCTAGATTCTGTCCACCAAGGAACGACAGGACTGTTAGAAACATATGTGCCTTCTTAAAGAAGGCACACAAAATCTCGTTTACAGCCACTCACCCTGGGCTCTGGTGGAAGGAGAGCAGAGCAGACTAGAATTGCGTGAGGAGAGATTGCAGTTTGTGACTCTGGGGACAAAGCTTAAGGGACAGCTGCCAGGATCTCTGGGCTGAGGTCTTCCTCACCGCAGACGCCATCTTTATTGGGTAGAGTACTCTCCCTTCATATGGCATCAGCCTGGGGGAACACAATAGCCCCATCCTCTGGACTCCGTCACCTCACCCTGCAAAGCTTGTGCCCTGCTGAGGAGTCAGCTGCTTGGGCCAATTTGCAGAGGTCTGGGCAGACTTGGAGAAGCCAGTGATTAAGCTGTGTGGCTTTGGGGTGGGGGCCATTCACGCCATTTCACTGTAACCCTGATAAGTGTCTTTCCCTCACTAGAGAACCGCTAGCCCCTACCCTCCCGACACCTAGTGGCTTCACCCTGCCAAAGGCTGGGCAGAATGCAGGACAGACTGAGTTGTATGGCTCTGGTGTGGGGGCCACTCTCCCCACCTTCTCCCAAGTCCAACCGGCACCTCCCCCTCACGGGTGATCCACTAGCCCCATCATTCCAACTCCTGGTGGCTTTGCCCTGCTGAGATTTGGGCTCTCGGCAGATTCTGGGACAGACTGAGTGGTGTGGCTCTAGGACAAGGGACACTTCCCCTTGCACACACGACCAGACCAGAGGCCTCCCATCATAGGGACAAATCTTGGTGTGCTCGGGCATGATAAACTCTGCTGGTCTCACCCTGATGACTCCCTGAGATCCTGTCCCACCATAAAGGTGCACAGGCACCCAGCAGGTGGCAGGCCTGGAACATTTGCTTAGTGGCCTCAGACACAGCACTGGCACTCAGATTGAACCTGTTCTGATCAGTTGAATACCCTCAACCCTTCTGGTAACTCACTGACAACCTATCTCATGCAACTCAAACACTGCCAGAGGCTTTTTCAGTGTCTGAGCTGAGCCTAAGAGGCATTGACAGGCAGAGGCAGGTGAAGGCAGATATTGGGATGCCTTGATACTTTTGCTAACCTGCCCCAGGGCCTGATACTGGTAAAAGTCAGCCTTGGTGCGCAGCTTGGTCCTTCCCGCGTACACCTAGGCCCAGCAGCAGCAGACACAAACTGTGGATCACTCTGTAGCTCCAAACTGGTTATCCAAGGTCAGTCACAGGCAGTGTATGACATTGGCTGACACCACCTCCCAAGAGGCCCCAGAACCAATATACCCAGTGGCCAATTTTAGACAATATCAGAGCAGAATCCAATTAGCTTCACAAACAGCATATCCAAAGGGAGGTCTCAGCAGGCACCAGATCCTGCTGAGGGGAATTATACTTTGTGTGGTGAGCATCTGCACAGCAGCTCATACACTGTGGTCAGGGTTGATCCTCACGGTCAACCAGCCTGAGGGTCAACACCATGCACTATGGGCCAATAGCAATCAAGACTCAATTACAACAAGACGGCTCACATAGTCCACACAAGGGTCAGTCCTAGAGCACCCAGCTCAGGTGTCCCATAGGACACCTACTACATAAAGCCACCATACCAGGACTGGGAGGCATAGCAGATCTACCAAATACATGGAAACAAACAGGAAGCCAAAATGAGGAGACAAAAAAAATAAAATAAAAATAAAGCCCCAAATGGAAGAACAAGAGAAATATCCAGAAAGAGCAAATGAAATGCAGGTAAATAATTGATCAGATAGAGTTTAGAAAAATGGTTCAAAGGATGCTCAGGGAACTGAGTGAGAACCACAAGAGCACAAAAAAAGGATATACAAATTATAAAAAAGTACCAGTCAGGAATGAAGAAAACAATACTTGAAATGAAAAGTACACTAGAAGAAATAAACAGTGGGTTGGATGAAGCACAGTACTGAATCAGTAATTTGGAAGACAAGGGTAGCAGAGAATACTCAGAGAACCACAAGCAAAAAAGAACTGAGCCCGGCTGGTGTGGTTCAGTGGATTGAGCATTGTCCTAAGAACTGAGAGGGCCTGGTTTGATTCCTGGTCAGGGCACATTGATGTTTACATTTCTCTTCCCCTTCTTCTCTCTCTCTCTCTCTCAAAAAAAAAAAAAAAAAAAAAAAAAAAAAAACAATAAAACATATTAAAACAAAAAAAGAACTGAAAAAATTGAGGATAGTTTAAGGAATCTTTGGGACAACATGAAGAGTAACAATATCCACATCACAAGGGTAAGAAGACAGAGAGCAAGGGATCAAGAACCTACTTGAAGAAATAATGACTGAAAACTTTCCTAATCTAGAGGAGAAAAAAGACATACAAGTCCAGGAAGTTCCAAACAAGATGAACTCAAAGAGGCCCACACCAAAATACACCATAATTAAAATGGCAAAGGTAAAAAACAAAGAGAGAATCTTAAACACAGCAAGAGAAAAACAGTTAGCTACCTATAAAAAAGCTCCGGTAAGACTGATATTTCAGGCCAGAAGGAATTGGCCTGAAATATTCAAAGTGATGAAATACAAGGATGTACAACCAAGACTACCCAGCAAGGTTGTCATTCAAAATTAAGGGAGAAATAAGGAGCTTCCCAGGCAAAAAAGAAAAAAAAGCTAAAGGAATTTATTACCATCAAAACAGTATTACAAGAATTATTAAAGGGTTTTCTTAAAGACAAAGAAAAAGGAAAAAACAAAACAAGAGAAACATAGTTATAAAAAATAAAATGGCAAGAAATACGTACCTACCAATAATCACTCTAAATGTAAATGGCTATTCTGGGTCTCATGTGGTTCCATACAAATTTTTTGAATATTTGCTCTAGTTCAGTGAAAAACACCATTGGTATCTTGATAGGAATTGCACTGAACCTACAGAATGCTTTGGGTAGTATAGACATTTTAATGATGTTAATTCCTCTTATCCATAAACATGGTATATACTTCAACTTACTTGTTTCTTCTTTAATTTCTTTTTTCAGTGTCTTATAATTTTCTGTGTATAGGTCTTTTACATTCTTGGTTAAATTTATTCATAGGGCCCTGGCCGGTTTTGCTCAGTGGTTAGAGCATCGGCCTGTGGTCCGGAGAAACCTGGGTTCAGTTCCCGCTAAGGGCACGTACATCGGTTGCAGTTTGTCCCCGGCCCTGGTTGGTTGTGCAGGTGGCAACCACTCGATGTGTCCCTTTCACATCGATGTTTCTCTCCCTCTCTGTTCCTCTCTCTCCCTCCCACTCTAC